CTGTTTCCAATTTTCCAAGCAAAATGAGGGGTGGCTCATGACCTTTGCACAGTACTCTGTATTTCATCATATTGAGCATTTATTCTAAGTAACCATTATTATAGTTAGGTCCATAATTAACTTACAGAGCTTTTTTTGTAGTTTTGCCTCTGTACACCACCACAGCTGATTTTAAATCAATATGTGATCAAAGTGCAGACTTTCAGGTATAGGAATTATAGCGATTTTTATACATAGTGTCACATTTTCAGAGACTTACAAGTAATTTGACAAGTGATAATCAAACACATTTCTGTACCAGCTGAAGCAGATATAAAATCATGAGTCCATTCCAAGTGTTGAGCTTATATTTGGTAACCCTTTCACTGGATGCTGGAACTCTCAATATAAGATTCAAAAACACTGAGGACGCAAGCAGACCATCATTAGGCTGAAAACCCAAAATAAATGGTAAATGGCCTGCATTTGTATAGCGCTTTTCTAGTCCATAGGACCCCAAAGCGCTTTACACTACATTCAGTCATCCACCCATTCACACACTGGCGATAGCAAGCTACATTGTAGCCACAGTTGCCCTGGGGCGCACTGACAGAGGCTGCCGGACACAGGCGCCCTCTGACCACCACCAGTAGGCAAACACGGGGTTAGTATCTTGCCCAAGGATATTTGGTATGCAGCCAGGAGGCAGCCTGGGATCGAACCACCGACCTTCTGATTAGTGGCTGACATGCTCTGCCACCTGAGCTACAGCCACCCCTAACTATCCAGCTCAGCAACATCAAAAGGCCTGAGGGACCGCAGAAGACAACTAAAGTGCACAATGACCGAATTATTTCCACAGTTAAGAAAAACAGCTTCATGACATTTAGCTGCGAAGACTCTCGAGGAGGCAGGCGCATCACTGTCAAAGTCTACAACTAGGAGACATCTACATGAATGTAGATACAGAGAAAAGAGGGCAGATTAGAATTAGCCAGAAAACATTTAAAAAATGTTATGGCACCGCATGCATGCTGTCAGTGGAACTGGGTCACCAATGCTTATTGATGATGTGACTGGTGATAGAAGCACATGGATGGACTGTGAAGCACACAGGGCTATACTCTCTGCTCAGACTCAGCCAAATGCTGCTGAACTGATAGATGGTGCTTCACCGTGCAGATGGATAACGGATAATGACCCAAAACATACTTCCTTAAGAGCTTCTTACAGTAAAAAGATGGGATAATCCTCAATGGCCAATTCAGTTACATGAGCAGCAGCCCAACAGAGCAGCTTTTCAGTTATTAGACACACAGCCACATGCAAAAAGATCCAAAGGCACAAAGATAAGTAGCAACTGAAGCCGTCTGTTGTAAAGGGAGGAAAAACAGCATTTGGTGATGTTCATGGTTTTATCCAAGTGCTAAAAACAATCCTTATTTTTACGTCACTTTTTCCAGTTAATTTTGAGCTTCTGGGGGACATTTCTAAAAATTGCTTCATGGATTAAAAAAGAAAGCCTGCCCTTCAGTCACATCTTGCTTTAAAATCCACTGCGGCGGTGTATTGTCGGAAAACGTCTGGGCCTAACTGTATAAAATGTTGTTAAAAAATCCCAACAGACTAAGTAAAAGTGGAGTTTTCTGTTTTTGCACAAAACAGATTTGTGACCAAGTTTTCCCTCGCAGACACATCACTTTGTACGCAGCAAAGATCAAACCTTTTCATTTAAACAAATGTTATAACAGCTGTTGTAGGGTCAACCACCGCCAGCAGAAGTGGTGGGCTGGGGTGTTCCCAGAAGAAGGGTGGGGGTCCAGCGACTACATTGTTTGGTGTTCTTCTTGGCAGTAAATCACACACTGAGGAGAACGTTTCATAACTGAATCATCGAGCAAACAATGACGTTTGCATGCACCGCACATGACCGAACCCTGACAGCACCCTTCAGTTCTTTATTGAAGCTTCACTTTGTTGTTTACAGAGACAGACCAGACCAGAAAATACACAGAAAAAATGAACTTTTAATTATAATCTGTGAAGCTGAGGGAAAGCAGAAATCTCTGGACGCTGTTTTCAATCTTCCCTCTGTGTTCTCAAACAAAGAATCAGTATTTGTATTCCCCCCCTTTTTTTAGCTCTGCATTTTCTAGCAGGATAACATTGATGGCTTCAGTCAGGCCTTCTTGCCACGCAATTAACAGGTTTTACAAATATCCACCTCCCCATGTGCTCTATAATTGTTTCAGATTTCTTGTTAAAATTCTGGTGAACACAAGAGATAAGAGTGCAGAACTGCAGAAAATGAGGAGGGGAAAAAACAGAGGCAGAGAAAGCAAGGCTGACAGATGGACCACAAATGTGGAGGAGAGCTCTCCCTCTGAAAAGTACAGCAAAGTCTGGTCTTCCATACCCAGCATGCTCCATTTTTTTTCCACCATTCAAATTCATTTTCCTTCTGCAGTTGGACTCAGAGTATCTGTGCTGACATTCAGTGCTCCAACAATTTAATTTTTTACCCATTTTTCCTGAATTTAGGTTGGATTTTTCACATTTCCATGTGGCTGCTTTGTATTTAGATGAACTAGTGTGAACTGCAGGATTAGTTCAGGATTTCCTAATACAAGCTGTTCACATATTTCATATCACTGAAAAATGTTTTGACACTCCACAAGTCTGTAAAACACAGTTCAGATCATTTGTAGACCCCAGGAAACATCATCATACCGCTTCCAGACAGGCTCTCAAATATGTCTTCTCATTAAATTCCAGCTGTTATGCTACGAATATGAACTCGATACAAAAGTGTTTGACTACCTAACATGCTTGTGTTATAGCTGAAGGTGTCATTATATAGCAGTGTCTTTTAACGTGCACTATTTTAGAGCTCTGCTGCAGAGATTTACTCCAGAGGGTGTAGAGGAAAACTTCTACGGGTCCTGGCTTTGTGCATGTGGGAAATGCTGTAATATTGAAAAGGGAAGGGAAGTTTAATTTCTAAATTAAAGGAGTCATTGTGTGAAAAAAATCTCTTCTCTTGATCAGAAAAAGTTGCTCAAATGAAAAAAGAAGTATTGTCCATATATTTTTGACTACCTTATGCACTTTATTACAAAAGGAAATCTGCACTGGAGTTAAATTGGAGCATCTGGAAAAGATTTTCAGCAACACAATAAAGTCTGTGTCTCAAAAAGACCCACATGATTATTAAAAAATGATAAAAGTGTCACCACACAAACACGTTCAGCAAGAGCAGGAGCACTCTTGGCTGGGTTTAGATGTTTTGCATCCCCATCAGGTTAGAGGTGCCCAACTGCTTTAGTTAATAAGCAAGAAATCAAAGATATATGAGTGAACAGTAAATGTCCCCCAAATCTTCTTTTTTTATGTTTTTTTTTTCACTGCCAAGACGTTTTTGTAGTGTTTATATGTGTGTGTGTCATTCTGTCTGTAAACACGATAGCTTGAAAAGTTTTGAATGAACTATGTGGGGGTGTAGAGTGGGGTCATGTTAACAGTCCATTAAAATTTGTCATCTTAACGATTTATTGGTCAAAAAGATACAAAAAACTCTTATAACCTATAAAACTTCTATAATTCTTACAAGGTCGAACCTTCATCAAAACTATTGGCAACATTTAGGCAATTATACCAATATATTTCACTGTGTGTTATACTTGTATAACTATGCATGTGACAAATAATAAAGAACCTTGAACCTTGAACCTTGAACCTATATGAGGATTCTGACTCTACAGAAAGAGAATGTCTAGTTAGTCAGAAATAAACTGTAAACTCAAGCTATTCATGTGCAGTTACTCACATTATCCATTACCTACTCCTACATTATGTTTGTGTAGTCAAAGTAATAATCTGCACTGCAAACTTCTTAAAGTTTGCTCAAAAAGAACACAGAAAACAAAATGAATAAATACGAAACACATTACTGTTCCCTTAAATGTAAATACAGCCCAGAGAGAGAGAGCTGCCTTGACGGAGGAGTGCTTCTTGTTTTCCACAAGTTCATCATTTAGCTGACAAAAGCCTCTCACTTCTCTCCTTCCAGCCTGATTCATGTAGCTGTAACGTTTTCATAGCAGCCTGTGCACTCCAGAATTTTCATGTCATGATAAAATTAGCTCTATTATTTCCTTTTGGGGGTCCATTTACCATCTTCTACCTCCATCTGAACCTACTGATCAATGATGCCGCTTCTTGTGAGAGTCCGATGGCCAAAAATATTCAATTGCGCACATTTTTTGAATAAACGTTGCCCTTCTGTCTCAAAGGATTTCTCTATATGAAGCTGGTAAAAGCACTGACACCAGCAGTGTGTGACATAATATAATTCAATGCATTCAAAGGTTGTAACAACAGGCTCTCCTCAAAAATGTGTAGTTTTTCTACACCGCTGCAAGTTACTGCTGATCACTCAACACTAAAACACCTCCAGAGAGGAGACAACCCTTTACAAATTCATCTGAAGTTCATATCAGGACAATCTTTCATAGCGCAGTATTGTTTGACAGTTTATCACAGCACACTGATAGGGGAGGTTAGTGTACACCAAGTATACATAGGTTTACTGCACAGTCATGTTGTTCACACCATAATTACGTTGTTTGCAAGGAAACTGCAAACTCTGGAGATTTTAAGCATTTTAAAAATGTACCAACTCTGTCGTTTTTCTCTGATAAGGACAGTTTCGCTCATTAGGCTCATGTCTGAACTGGAAGACATGGGCCTAATGCTCAGGGTGGGGGGTGAACTGAGTAACTGAGCTGCACAGGACATTTAACCCCTAACTCTGCTTTTACTCTGAGGCCAACAGATCAGAAGAGGAGAGCTGCACAGTCGTTGCTGTTTTAAGTCAGTTTCTGATAGTGTGTGAGGTGCCCCCCTTCCAGCCTCTTCATTTTCTCCTTCCCCCAGCTCCCTCTCTCGCCTAACATCAGCCCATCAGTCACCTTCTTTCTCCTCCTCCTCCTCTCTGTTTTTCCTCCCCACTCTCCCCACAGACAGTGTGCTGCCGGTCTGTGAGCTGGAGAGACACTCGGACGACACACAAGAGAGAAGTCTTCAAAAACAAACTTTGCAGAGCCATCTTGCCTTTTCCCCGACCGTGGATGAAAGAGGACTGCTCCTTGTTCTTTTCCTACATCCTCCAAGAGTTTTCTTTGTATATTTTCAAACAGAAAGCAGCAATGCTTAGATTCTACATTCTCCTAACTTTTGCTGGTGAGTACATCTTAACGGTTTTGGCCAGCGCTGGTGGATGAGGGCATGCTTCTATTAATGCCAGTTGCAATGATTCATACTTACCATTCCCTCTCTCTCTAACGTCTTCCTCCTCTTTGTTTCTCTCTCAGTCAACATCCAAGCCAACAGCCAGCTGTTGCCAGGCTCTTGCAACTTTGAGTCCAACACCTGCGGATACACGTCAGATGCAGACTTTATGAGCTGGACCCTGCAAAAAGATGGTACTTAAAACGACGGCACCCTGCACTTTCAGGGTTTAAAACGAATTTAACGTAGGAGCTTATAATGAGTGTAGAGTTAAAGATGTTTTAATGACAGTTTTGGTGCTGGTTTTGGCTGTGCCACTAAAGCAGTACGGTGAAAAGAAACCCATCTGGTCTGCATTGATTGCAGCATCTCTGAACATCTGGAGTCAGTGAAATAACACATTTAGTTATTCTCGTCGGGTTGGTACCGCTGCAGCTGATATGAATGAATGCTGCACACGCCCTTACCTTAGTATCTGTGTGATATCACCGTCTGCTCATGCAAAATGATCAAAGCCAACAGATGGATGAATGAAGGTTAACGTTTGTGCACGCTTTGGTCGCTGTGGCAGAAACTACACAACTTCTTAACCATTGCTAAACAAGCATGTGTAAAATTGTACACTCTTGTGTGGTCCATGAACAAAATAGTGAGAAGTCTTGAGCTGTATTTATCCTGGTGAACCAGTGACAAGGTTTCGTCACGTAAATAGTGACATGAGGTGGAGCCTGCTTTAAGCCTTTGAGGTCTAAGTGATCACCGGTAATCACATTAACCCAAATATGATCAGAAATTACTCGTTCTGATAGATTAAATCCTGTTCACATTTTTCCAGAAAGGCCAATTTTGCTTTTCTCTAAAAAAAGGATTGGGGGCAGAATTATCATCAGTAGTTTCTATGAAACTGATCCAGTCCAATAATCTTTTATTTAGTATATATAAATGTGGATCACTGGTGATAACCTTAACCTTGTATTTTGGAGAAAGGAAACAAATTTGGGAGCATAATTTAAAAAATCCTCCAAACTCAATATTTTGATTGCCTTGACTTACGGTTAGGGGGCGCCACTGATCATGACTGAAGTGGGATGTATGCTTGTAACTGGAGAATGAAAGTACATGTCACATGATTGTGACTGGCCTGTTCATACCACCGTTTCCTCTTATGTATTTTTGGCTACATCTTCTGCCGCCATTTTTCAAATTGACTGGAAGAAAACACCCGCCGTCAGCACAAGTATAAATGCTGGCAATGGTATCGACCACTTGCATAGGCTCTACTTAGAGTCGACGCAGAAACATAAATTATGCAGAATTCATGGTAATGTGTTTGTGTCAGAGGGTTAAGAGGATACGCCAGTAGTTTGCCTAAGTGTTTGGCTTTGCAGAGTGAAGGATTATGGGTATACAGTCTATGCAGAGGTGTTTGTGTGCAGTCCTCCAAAACCACCAGCGCATAGCTGAATAGGGAACTGTGTGGTGGTAAAATGCTGATTGGTTGAAAAGTTGGCCTGAACAGGAAAGGAAAGGACCGCAGAGAAGCACAGACAGTGGACACCTTTCATTGTTTTCAAACACTCAGTGTCATTTCAGCTCTTTGCATCTTGTAATTGTGACAATTTTCGTCACGGCCAGCTGAAGGAACGGCAACAGCCAAAGCGAGACTAGCCAAAAAAATCCACATATTTTTCACACTGCTCCTGATGACAGCGAACACCAGGAGCAGTAATCCAAAGAACAGAGAAGGTGAGGGGAAAAACTGGACAGATCTATATAGACAGAAACAAGAATGCCACATGGACTATACACTCAGGACTAATTTGAGGATAGGACACAACTGCATGTGATGAAGACAATCAGAGAGGAAGCAAAACTCAAACAGCCATAGAAAAATAGAAAAACAGTCATACTACAACAGGAAATGAACAAAAGCTGTTTAGTCTGTCATTCTTGTTTCACTAATTCAGGGGGAACACCAGAAAACCTAACACAACACACAAATAACAAACTCAAATTAGGAACTGAAGGTAAATACAAATCAAGAATGTAGAACTAATACTGGAACAGTAAACCATCTAGAAAGGCATTGAAAAGTCCAAGAAAACATATCTGGAGCCATAAATACAATCAACAAACTACATTATGAGTATATTACTGTATTGAAAGGACATGACAACAGAGATCAAAAACTCAATCTACAAACAGTAAGAATCAAAACGTCAAACAGAAGAACCTGAACAGAAACCCAAACCCAAAGATATTGACTGAGGATTCCCAATCGAAAAACAACCTCAAACCCAAGGACCGTGGCATTAACTCCAATTCAAGCATTTATTAACAAGCTGTGTTCACTGATATTGGGTTTTCTTGAGCCTGTGCTGTGACTTACACTGTATAACACCTGTTTTTAATTCAGAATGGAGGGCCTGACAATCAAAACCACTTTTTGGTCCTATGTGTAGATGGTAAGAGGTTAATAAATTAAGTGTTTGAGTTGAAGGCAACTAGACTTCTTATTTAAGTTCTTTAAGATGTTTAACTTGTCATTCAGAAGGTTTCTTCAGTTCTAACAGCTGATGTGGAGTCCCAGATATTTAACTGCTAGTGCGGCTTTCAGCTTGGAGGTGGTCCTGAAAGTCCTTGATACCGACCTGTCAAATGAGCGGTTAGACTCACATGAGCTAACATATGAATACCTGGGACTCCTCATCAGTTTTTAGAACTGAAGAAGCCTTTTGAATGAGAAGGCAACCATGACCTGGATGACTGAGAACCCATCTATTCAAGGGTATGGTTAAGGTTAGAGGTAGGTTAACATCCTGCAAAAAAATAAAAGAAGCTTCATTTTAGAGGCAAAATTTTCTAGTTTCTGAAAATGAGTCTATTTAGCTCGTGGTTAAATCAGTCCCTAACACTAGCCCTTACTCACCTATGATCTGGTGGGTGATGAGAGGTTAGATGATATCAGTCATAAAAACAAACAAACAAAAAAACTCTTTATCTCTAATCTTGAGCCATGTAACTGGTGAGGCAGAATTTCTATCATGGCTCTATCCTGCTGCTCCAAATCCTGCTGAAGAAAACCTCTAATTACCACTTTTTCCCCACTACGATGTTTGCTCACAGCCCACTTTGTCCAAAAATTGCTCTGCTTCTGTCTGGGATACTCTGTGTTTTCCTGTTTCCATCTTTGTTGCTAATGCCGCTGGCGTGCCAGAGAAGTCGGTGTATTTGGTGCATTAATAGTGTGCTTAGTTCCTGCTCATTTCTTTTCCTTTCCTCCACTGCTCTTTATCCCTTTCATTGCTCTGCGCAGCCAGAACAGGAGCAGTGAAGTCATGTCAAATGTATGTATAAAGCAGTTTTTATGTACCCTTTTTACTCTGCTTGAAACCAAATCAGGCATTGGGATGATCTAATCAAGACATTGCATCAGTTTGAGGTTTTAACATCTGTTAAAAGCTCCTTTGACTACGATGACCTGGATGACTGAGAACCTTCACAGACATCTGTTGATTCAGTTTTTAAATATAAACAATTGCAGTTTACTGGGGGAAAAGAAACATTGAATTTTCCAAACTGAAATCATCTCAGTCCTCTGTGTGTGAGTGTGTTCAGGAGCCCCGGGGCAGCAGGGCATTCCACAGGGACAAATAATAAATGACAGACCACTAAGAAGAGCTCAGAGGACCCTGGAGCAGAAAAGAGTTGCTGAGGTGGATTTTATGATGCTCTGACTCAAAGTGTCCTGACTTTGGCCATGAATCCTGATGCAAAATGTCACATCCCGTAAATCTGGGTTTTCTATAACTTTTTTCAGATAGAAATGTGCAGTAACACTACATCTGATTTTTAACAGGTTCTAGTCCTTAAACAGAAAGTGTAAAGAAAATGATTGATTTTTGCATATTATCTGGAGCTGGCTCAGACACATTTTATAATTCCAAGCATTTAAACACAAACTGATGCTGGGATTTAGAGCTTATTTCTGTCAGAACGTCCAAACCTGCACATCGATCAGTGAGCCTGTTAGCTGCCTCGGTGTTCATATTTAACTCAGTTAATTAGTGTGGCTGCACTGTGTGGATCAGCTAATATGATTTCAGGTCCGGCAACAACAACACCCAACTCTGTTAATTTGCTAGTGCCTTTCAGTTTGTACTCTCACAAGCTAGCAAATTAGTAGATATATAATATATAATTAGCAAATTACTAGCTTGTTAGTAAGCCACAAACAGTATAAAAGTTACAGTATGTACCTTGATTTCTACCAGAAACTAAAATGTGTGACCTTGGGCCAAATTTACTAATGCATGTGCAGTCCTGTGAAAACACTAAGTGCACCCCATGATTTTTCTGGCTATAAAACCACCTTTTATTAGAAATAACCTAAAGTAATTGTTTTCTGTATGAATTCATCAGTTTCTCACTTTGCAGAGGAATTTCGACCCATCTTTCTGAACAATGTTGTATCAGTTCATTGAGGTTTCCAAGAATTTGATTTTGCACACAGACTTTCACTGGGATACTGAAACCTTGACCTTCAGCCTTTCTGTTGTAGATTTGTTTGATCAGATGTTTTTTCTCATTGTACTGTCAACATTTAGCATGCTAAATGAGGTTTGTAGAATCTGAAATATAGCTCTTGGGTTTTCTTTGAGCCTTGCACAGTTTGACCTTAGTGAATTTGCTGAGATCTACTGATGATCGCTTAATTAAGTGCATTTGATTAGCAGCACCTGCCTGTGTGCCCCCTTAATTCCTATGGAAGCAGGAAGGACTGCATAGAGTCCTGTGAAAACCAAAAACTGGACTGTAAGGGTCTCTCTTGTATTACAGTGAAACATGGGTTTGCAGTACTTTAGGTTTTTAGTCACATTTCTGTACAGACTTGGGTCCACAGTGCAACCTTTTCTACATGTGTTTTCTTAACAGTGCACACCTCTTTAGTAACTTTTCTCTAATAAGTATTGAACTGAAATTACTGCCAAAACGCAGAAATTAATTGTTGGGTCTGTATTTCCACAAGCCCCACTGGTTTAGAGACTTATTCATCATGAAGAAAACAAGACAGTCAGCGATTGATTGATTTACTTGCAAGGGAGGCCTCGTTGGTGTCTACCACGAAATGACCCCAAATCCGGCCTCCTCTGGCTTTTATTGAGAACGTTCACACAACAGTTTACAAACACCTCCCCTCGTAACCCCCCTTGGTCACAAAGATAAGGCACTGTATGCATGTGTGTGTGTGTG